CGGGGCTGGGGTTGGGGAGTAAATGGGTGTAGAGTGTGTGATGGGGGTGGAGTGGACACGGGGCTGTGGGAGGGGGAGTAAATGGGTGTAGAGTGTGTGATGGGGGGAGAGTGGACACGGGGCTGTGGGAGGGGGAGTAAATGGGTGTAGAGTGTGTGATGGGGGGAGAGTGGACACGGGGCTGGGGTAGGGGAGTAAATGGGTGTAGAGTGTGTGATGGGGAGAGAGTGGACACGGGGCTGTGGGAGGGGAGTAAATGGGTGTAGAGTGTGTGATGGGGGGAGAGTGCACACAGCAGGACTGTGGGAGGGGAATTAATACATCATGCATAATGCTTTTCCGTGTGTTTTACTTGAACAGGGATCGTTTAACCCACAATGATGTGATTGGCACAACTTACTTATGTATGTCGAAAATCTCTGCCCCAGGAGGACAGATCGAAGGTACGTGGAGGTTAATTCATAGTAATAGTTTTGGATTTAATAGTTATTACAGATCGATGATTATTCTGTGTTAGCATTCCTGAATGTTTAAAAGTTTAGAAATTCTAGTCAGTGTTATGTGAGGTTGATTTTCAGTCATGATGATGACAGTTTGTAGATTGCAGTTTAATCAAGGTTATGGCAGGGTGAAGTTTGAAATAGTTGCCTGAAACTCGGTGATGGTAACAGCTAGTTAACATTTCGTAAGAGTTATGTTAGGTTATGGTTTCCTAAGAGTTAAAGTATATTAAAGTTGAATATTGATTATGAGAAATGAAAGTTCATAACAGTTAGAGCAGGTTCAGTGATTGTTACGGTGAGTTAAAATATAGAACTGGTTCTAATAAGTTGAAGTTTATGATAGTAATTAAAGGTTGGTCAGATTGATTAAACTGTTCTGAGTTTCCAAAGCGTATGAAGTATCTCATCAGAAGCTACCACCTTGAGCAGCTCATGTCACATCTGTCTGTTTTGTGCAGTCCAACAACTCTTTCGAAGGAACAGTTGACACACGCTCAGTTGGAGCAATGTTTAAACAAACTCCAAACAGTCTGCTGACCTGTTCCACACCCAATGGATATCCTTTATTGCCAACTCTGCACAATGGACCGTTAGCAATGGAGGATGGGCAGCCTATTGTGCCTGTGTTAGCTCTCTGAAAAACCTATCCTAATGATGCCTATCAATATCCAAAAATGCCTTCCCTTCAAGGCCATATCTGATTCATGTGGAGGCTTTTAAAGGCTTCCCCTTCGAAATGGAAAACACTTTGAGGAGGGGCAACATGACTGGAGCAAGCTATAATGCGGAAAGTGCATGCAAACACATTTGTTGAAACATCTTCCAATCTTGTTTTGAAAGTTACCCTTGGATCTACTCTACCATCTTTTCACACAGTGCATTCCAGATGACAACTCCCCCCTCCAACAACTTCCCCTAACAAAAACACACTCTGTGCAACAAATCGCTCTTTAGAGCAACTCGCTCTCTACAACAAATCACTCTACTACAACAACTCACTCTACAACAGCTCATTCTCTATAACAACTCACTCTGTATAACACCTCACTTTCTACAACTCTCTCTCTACAACAACTGACTCTACAACAACACATTCTCTATAATAACTCACTCTCTGTAACATATCACTTTCTACAACTCTCTCTTTACAATAATTCATTCTACAACAACTCATTCTCTAAAACAACTCACTGTCTACAACAACTCACTCTACAACAAATCACTCGACAACAAATCACTCGACAACAAATCACTCGACAACAA